TAATCAGAGGTCTTCAGATTATGACAGAAGGAAGAAATTACTAAATATGCACATTCCTGTCATAATACAAGAACATTCTGTATTAATGGCAATCTAATAGCTTACTGTTCTGTAATATACAAACCGATATTGTTACCAGTGTCCTTTCTCATGTGCCACTGTACTCCACCATTTCAACAAACAGTCCTGGTCTGTTTCTACCAATTATCTGCATTCAGCAAGTTATACTTGGTTTTTAAAGTTGCATAGAATACTCAGGTGGCAGAGAAAAGTGGGAAATAGGTCAAAATAAGAGGGAGGTCTCTTGGACAAGCTGTTGCATTTAATCGTCAAAGGTGCTTTGCAAGAAGCTAGGTTTGGTTAAGATCCATGTCAGTTCAAAATCTAGTAAATTGCCTTTTTCAGTCAGGTGGTTTGTTCACCTGGGCAGAATTGTCTTGGTATTGTGCACTTTGCTCTACAAGTTAATCATGTCCTCTCCCTTGATATTGATAAATATATTTATGTCTAGCCACATTCTATTTGACAAAGGAAAATACAGAGTTTGATTAATAACAGATCAAAAAAGGAGAAAGAAGTTAAAAATTCATCTGTTTTGAGCCTTCTTCTGCAACTTGCAACCTTAGAGATGTGGGTTGCAAATTCTGTCATTCCCATTCCAACATGCCGTTGGGTTGATGAAAGTTGTTATCCCACCACACTTGGGAACCCTCTTGGAAAAGACAGTATTAGAGGGACATATGATATGAATCTGTTGGGATTATCAGAATTTGTAGTATATTCTTTTGAACACCAAAACATTTTCTGTTTCTAAAATTAAAGCAAGATAACATTTGAATTTCTCATTCTTTCAGTGTTACTGCATATGTTCTAACTTTTTCTCAAAACAAGCCCCGTGTTCTTGTTCATGGCAAATCATTGTGTTTGTTTTATTTTTCCTCTATAGGCATTCAATTAATGTTCTTGTGCATATACAGGATTGGCCAAAATTCACAAAGGGGTTTCAATATTTAATAACACCTTTATTGTAGAAACGCGATAATGACCAGGCGGGAAGCAGGGCGTAGAAGTGAATGATGATGACCTTTTTATTGTTCCCTAAGCAAAGCTTATATAGGTTTTTGTGTTCTTCAGCAAAGTCTGCATAGCAACAGTGGGGGATTACATAATTGTCAAGTGATTGGTTGGACTCTCAAGGGTGAGGTAATCTGTAGGTAAGGTCAGCAACAGGTGATGTCATCCTTCCTGTCTTCAAGGGTAGTGTCCATACATGGTCAGTTGGTTAGGAACAGTGTATGCATCTGGGGAGGGCGGCCTGCCTCCAGTCCCAGGTCATGATGCCCTGTATACTTAGCCAGAATGGTGTGGAGCATAAGTGTCAGAGGACTGGAATCTGCCATGTTTTCCTGGAGGTATGGTTTGCCAGTCCCCCCTGGTGGTACATTGCCATTCCTGCACCTCTGCACTAGGGACACAATGGTGTCTCTCTTGCATAAGGGACATTAATAATGATAATGTCCCTTCACTTTATTTTTTGTTTACCATTTATAATACTATATCATCATATACAGTATATCTAGGAAATAAAATTATATTACATTACATGTAAATATCCTTTGAAAACATTTTCAAAAATGTATTAAAACATCAGATACGCTTGTGACTTTTGGCCAACCCTATACAACATACATGTATTGCAGTTGCTGTTTATGAGTTCCCCCACTAAAATATCTAGATGCAAGAGGCAAACTCATCTAAACTCTAATGCATTTGTTTTCATGAATGCTCATGCAGAATCTAGTTTGCAACCTGCTATATAGAAAAGCTATTTTGTTTTGTTTTGTTCTGTTTTAGTATAATAGCTCTCTCTTTTCCTTTTCAATTTGTGACGAGACCTTGCCTGCAGCTACTTCTTTCTTTGTTTTCTAAACAAAAAAAATCCAGTACACTGCTTACCCATGACCCTATCAAAGTACTGAATGTTGCTGATGAGTCATGAACATCTACTGTGAGTTAAGCCATGACTATTTTGAGATTAAGCATTATTAAGTTATCCTTCTTAAATGAATTTAGAGCATTATTTCATCACAAGATCAACATTATCATTATCACTATCATAGATAGGATCATTGTTCATCATTAAGCAATGCTATTGGAGTGAGGATAGGCAACATGGCATCTCTAGATATTTTATTTTATGACTCCTATAACCCACATAGCCAATGCTCAGTGATTCTGGTGAGAACCAGGTTGCTTGCAGATACATTAATGTACATAGCAGCATATTGACACTAAAGCCAAACTAAGAGTGAATATACACCCACAAAATAATTTGTCCTTACCTTGATGCCGGTACTGTTGAAACACAAGAAGTTCCTCTATTTTCAGTGTGAAAGCACTTATTTTGTATGGCTGAGGTTTTTTACATGGTAAGAAAAAAAGCACACAAGAACATGATAGGAAGTGTCCTTTTGTGCAATGTGAGGAAATGTGTGGTTGTCAAAACCAAATTGAATTCAGATCATAATGGACACATGTGATATTAGTAGAATTACTTTGGGGCAGGATACTGAGCATTGGAGCTTGGATATTGCCCTGGTCTAGATTCAACTGAAATCCCATTTTAGTCCCATTTGACACATATGGTGTTTGACTTAACCATGATCAATGCTCTCCTTTAATATCAGCAGGACTAGAATATACCTTCCTCAATATGTGTACAACCTACAGTATTCAAACACTTAAATAATTAGTGAACATAGTACCCTTTTCCCAAGAAACCAATATTCGAAAAGAAACAATGGGCATTATAGCAAAAACAGATTAAGAAAGAGAGAAAGGAAGTGTGGAGGAAAGCCTTCAGCAATATAACCAGGAGTGCTTCTGAAGGAATATGCTGTCTCTGTGTTCATTTGTGAAATGTTGAAGGGCATAATTATCCTGAAATCAGAAGAGATAGTAGAAGACAGTTTAGATTTGGCTGGCCAAGCCAAGGAAAGAGTCTTTTTCTGTACTCCAGATTTCCTGGTTGTATATGTATTTGATATTCCTTTAAACAAAATGACGAATTGTTCTTCATTTCCTGAAACATAAAAGCACTGTTGGTTCAGGAAATCATTGTTGTGGATTCTATTCTAAAGAATCTTATGAAGGCCGTCCATCTGGAAATAATACAGGGAGGTACAAACGATCAAACTGTTATATTCAGAATTAAAACTGTTTGCGGTATCTGTCGATGTACATCTTCTAAATGTGTTTTAACTCCTTTTAATTTGGGGGAAAGGACTTCTAAAGAAAGAAGAAGCACTTCACATGAATAGAACGTAATTGATAACAGCTTGTCCTTGGCATTTTGCAAGTAGTGGTATTTATATCCTTAAAAATGTTCCCACAGCATTGTACTTGAGTTCCCATCGGTTGTTACGAAAGATATAATCTCTTTTGCCACCTCATCTCTACTGTTTTTGTATGGTTTCATTGGTCAAGGAGGTGAACATTCTGACTTATGTATCACTTTCTAGCTTGTGAAGGCTTTGCAGTCTGTTCATCTCTCTGTTTCTGTGTCTGTTTAATGACTAAAGCATTGTGTATGTGCCTATGTGTGTTGAAAGCTTCCCCCCCCCCTTCTATAGGGAGCAAGGAACTTTTCAAAATTCATATATCTCAATTGTGGGTAGTTTCAGTCAAATGGAGTCATTTTCTACATCTTATGCCTATGGCATGACAGATTGTTTGGCTTTTTTTTTTTTGGCATTATTTCATTGTTGTTACCTCAGGGAAGCTTTACCACCACCACTTTATGTAGCAAGTGGCATAATGAAAGACTCCCTTTTTGTGCTATTTGGGGTTATTGTGGGGATATCACACAGTTTTTGCTCATACTTGTTGAAAAAAATGTCATAGCATGTCAAGAAACTCTGAAACTTTTGTTGTTCTTCATGATTAAAAGTTTTAAAGAATCAACAATTATTTTACAAGCAGCAATAATAACAAAAAAAAGTTTTTTAAAAATATGTGTAAATGAAAAAATTGCATCAAAATGAAAAAAAAATGCATCAAAATGTGACCAAAAAACCCATCTTCTAATCTTACCCAGTAGGAAGAAAATATAATCTTTCTCCTTCTCCATTGCACAATAATGAAATAAGCAAAGCTTTGTATCTCCAGGTCATGAAATGACTTTGATTATGATGGCAGGTAGATGGCTTAAAGCTGTCATCAAACTCCTGTTGATCACATGCAGTAGCTCACAATCTAGCCTTCTGGTGAATGGTGTTATGTCAGTCAACCATTTCTAACAAATATAAAAGTGCATAGCCACTTTCAAAAAGGATAACGAAATGGCCAAAAGATGGACAGCTTGTTCCTTATTCACAGTTTATTTTCTCTTTGAGGTTTTCTCCCTGCTGAATACAGCTTGGAGGATCAAAATAGTGTCTATTTAAGCCAAAGAAGCTCAGTGACATGAGCCTGTGTTTGTGTGATGACAATATGGCCCAAGGAGCAAATGTGGCAATATGTAATCCCCGACGTACTCTACAGTTTTCTTATCTAACCCAGGGGGGCTCTTCTGCCTGCAACAAGAAGTTCTATATCTCTCGGTGTAAGCTCTGTTGGGAACTGCATGACATTGATATGGCCAGGTGGCACACTTCCAAATGTATTGCACATTAAAGTTGGATTCAGAAAGAATCCAAAAATAAATGAATGACCAGCCTAGGAATAAAGAACAAAAAGAGGGAGGAAATACCTGTGACCTCATTTAGGAGGGCATTATGAAAAGCAATAACTGAGCCAGTTTTCATCAGTTCTGTGTATTTTGCGGAAGCAAATGGCTCTCCACATCTCACTCTCTTTGTCCTACAAGAGCATTAAACTTTGGATTTTTTATTAAAAGGGGAATGCAAAGCAGAAAATATCTGTATCCCTAAATGCGAAATCAATGCATAATTTTTAACAAAATGAAATTATTACAAATATTGCTTTCATCTTTTATACAGGTACTCAATAGATCGAAACACAGACCTAGAGAGATATTTCAACATTGATGCCAACACTGGAGTCATTACCACTGCAAAGCCCTTGGATAGGGAAACAAATGCTGTGCACAATATTACTGTCTTGGCTATGGAAAGTCGTAAGTTGCAATTTCAAAGATGCTGTAACATTTCAAAGTGTTGATTTTCATTGTGCTGTCTACTGAACAATACTTAAATAAATCCTTTGCCTATAAGACAAGGGTGGGAAAACAGCAATCAATGGTCTTTTGTTAAATGATTCAGTGGGTCTATTCTCGTTGAAATCCACTGGTGGATTTGGGCTAAAATATGTATCTAGTTGAACAGTGATTACAGCATTGTCCGGCTTAGTTATGCTTTGGTAGATGAATGGAAATGGAAGAAACAAGAGGCACTACCCATATATATTCCTCATAATGGAACAAAATAGGTAAAACAGGACAGGCTACATGGCCTCATTAAACTCAGTAGCTCTTTTATTGCTTTCATTTTCCTTGCCATTACCATGACCAAAATCCCAGTGACAATATCATTTTGCTCCCTCTGATATATAGGAAATTTGAAATACTTGTAGAATTATTCATTAAGATCTAATGTTTAGGTTTTTTTTTTCATAACAGAAAACCCTTCACAAATTGGGAGAGGATATGTAGCCATCACTATTCTTGACATCAATGACAATGCTCCAGAGTTTGCCATGGATTATGAAACTACTGTCTGTGAAAATGCAGAACCTGGGCAGGTGTGGATTTATATTCCTAACAGCTTGATGATATTTTATGCACAGCAGTAATTTGATTTGCAGAGATGCCTCTTTTAGGATAAAATATAATCAGTTTATTGCAGTAAAAATGACATGTTGATTTGAAGCTAAACTAAACATTAACTAGAACCATCACCATATAAGAACCCGCAAGAGAACTGCACTGGTAAATTTACACGGAATATCTTTAAACATCCTCTAGACTTTCTAGTCTGTGCAAATACCTTATTTCCATTCTTCCAGCTATCTTCTTTCAGCAAAATAAAAAGGTATTAGATAAGAAATATCTGGAATTTCAATGATAAGGATTTTCTGTCTGATTCCATAAACAATCTTCGCTCTCAATTGCCTTCTAGAGTAACCAATCTCACATGTTTCCAACAGCCAGACTAAAACATTGAGTTCTTTGAGGTTTAGTCCATGTCAGATATTACCAAGGTTTTCAATGATTTTGAATCTTTAATCATTTAAGTAATTATTGCATTTAAAATATATATTTCCTTAATGAGCTCAGAACATTATGATGTTTAGCAATAACTTCGTAAAGTAAATGAAACCTTGTCATCAAACTGGTTCATGGATATAATCCCCCCCCCCCCCAAGAGCCAGAAATTATCAATGCAGTCAGTTCCCATGGAGATGTCCATTTTTTGAGTGAGTCTTTTTAGAAGCTATGTACTTGGCTGCTTTTATTTCCTTTTTTTCTAGGACTATATCATCAGACAGCATGTTATCAGGTCTGCCACTGCCACACTCCAAAAATTGGTTAGCTGAGTGCAGAATTAATTCTTAAAACCAAGCATTAGGTTAGACTTGATCTGTCTTCATGAAACCACAGCTGTTGCTTTTGGAGGCAGTGGAAGACATTGTGGAGAACACAGCCTCATACATACTTTGAGGAAAAATTTGAAATCATATACTGCCATGTGCCTGAACATAGCAAGATATTTTTCAGGTGCAACAACTATGGCTGTGTACACTGTAGAATTAATATTGTTTATCACCACATTACTGCTATGCCTCAATGTTATGGAATCACAAGCGTTTTGTAAAGCACTATCATTATTTGACAGGGAAAGCTGAAGACTTTGTAAGCCCACAGCTCCCACAATTCACTAGCATTGAGCCATGACAGTTAGAGTGGTGTCAAAAATCATTAACTCCCTCATTGTTAAATCCACCAGCATTTATCTTGTAACTGAAATGCAAACTAAAATAATACAAAGGCAAATCATTTGTTCCTAGGTAATTCAAAGAATAAGTGCTGTTGACAAAGATGATCCTCCTAGCGGCCACCAGTTTTCTTTCAGTTTGGCAGGAGAGGCGGCAAATAACCACAATTTTACATTGCAAGATAATAAAGGTAAGCCTCCAATTGTGGTTGGCAACCCAAGGGCATACCAGTGCTCTTATATCTTCAGACAAGCAATACTGATTGTTATCTAGAGTAGCTTCTTTGACAGAAAGAGCATTAATTAAGAGCAATTGGACCTCAAAGTATTCTTTATGTATAGATTATCTGTCAGGAGAAAGAAACTGCTTTTTAAATCATTTCAGACCATGAGCCGAACAGATGGGCATCAGATCCATTCCCAAACTGATTTTTTCTCTTTCTATTTTTATAAGTCTTTTTCTAAATTAGATTGTTCCTCAGGGCAGCTTGTTTGATTAATGTCACTCAGGAAATACAGAAATGAACCCTTGAAACACATGGCAGAGTTTCTGGGCTCAGAGAAAACAACTTTTCCCATCATATCATCTGCTGCTAAAAATGCTTTGGAGATGAAAGCTTAGGAATCAGCTTTCCTTGGTTGTTAATATTATTTTGCTATTCTACATAGAACCACATTTTACCAATAGATAAAGTTCTGTGTTGATCCAGGATGCTGGAAAAATCCTGTGGGGACACATTGTTTCACAGTTTAGAAATATGAGAAAAAATTAAATACTATTTTGCTTTTCTTAAGGAACACTCATGTCTAAGCCCTTATCTGGTGCATGACCTAGTTCTGGGCATTTTAAAGGAGTTGCGTGTTTGTGACATGTTTATTATTTATTTTATTTATTTACTGCACTTGTAGACCGCCGTTCTCAGCCCTAGGGCGACTCACGGCGGTGTACAACATATAAAAAACAGTTTACAATAAAGGCAATATCACAAACAACAATAACAATATCACTATCAATAATACAATTACACTAAATCATTCGCGACGTCTCATCATAGAATCACAATCCAATCTCATTATCCATATTCCGTTCCAATCATCATTGCCAATTGTTGTAGCACTTAGTCAAACGCCTTCTCAAACAACCACGTCTTTAGTCTCTTGCGGAATGTCATAAGGGAGGGCGCCTGTCTGATGTTTACAGGGAGGGTGTTCCACAGCCGGGGGGCCACCACCGAGAAGGCCCTATCCCTCGTCCCCGCCAGGCGTGCCTGTGAGGCAGGCGGGATCGAGAGAAGGGCCTCCCCGGATGATCTCAAAGCCCTCGTGGGCTCATAGGCCGAGATGCGGTCAGACAGGTATTTTGGGCCGGAACCGTTTTGGGCTTTGTAGGCCAACACCAGCACCTTGAATTGGGCCCGGTAGCAGATCGGCAGCCAGTGGAGCTGGAACAACAAGGGCGTTGGGTGCTCCCTGCGTCCCGCTCCTGTTAGTAACATGGCTGCCACGCGCTGGACTAGCTGGAGCTTCCGGGCCGTCTTCAAGGGCAGCCCCACGTAGAGAGCGTTGCAGTAGTCAAGGCGGGATGTGACCAGAGCGTGTACCTGGCCAAGTCAGACTTCCCGAGGTACGGGCGCAGCTGGCACACGAGCCTGAGCTGTGCAAATGCTCCCCTGGTCACCGCTGAAACCTGGGGATCCAGGCTCAACGATGAATCCAGGGTCACACCCAAGCTGCGAACCTGCGCCTTCAAGGGGAGTGCGACCCCATCCAGCACAGGCTGTAACCCTATACCCTGTTCGGCCTTGCGACTGACCAGGAGTACCTCTGTCTTGTCTGGATTTAATTTCAGTTTGTTCGCCCTCATCCAGACCATTACAGCGGCCAGGCACCGGTTCAGGACTTCGACAGCCTCCTTAGTAGCAGGTGGAAAGGAGTGACAGAGTTGGACATCATCTGCGTACAGATGACACCGCACCCCGAAACTCCGGATGATCTCACCCAGCGGCTTCATGTAGATATTAAACAGCATGGGGGACAGTATAGAGCCCTGTGGAACCCCACAAGTCAAAGGCTGTGGCGTTGAACAGGTGTCCCCCAATAACACCTTCTGGGTGCGGCCCTCCAGAAATGACCGGAGCCACTGCAGAACAGTGCCCCCAAGGCCCATTTCCGCAAGACGCCCCAGAAGGATACCGTGGTCGACGGTATCGAAGGCCGCTGAGAGGTCCAGGAGCACCAACAGGGACACACTCCCCTTGTCTAGCTCCCGGCGCAGATCATCCACTAAGGCGACCAAGACCGTCTCAGTTCCATGTCCCGGTCTGAAACCAGACTGTGCCGAATCCAGATAATCCGTGTCTCTCAAGAATACCTGGAGTTGTGAGGCCACCATGCTTTCCATGACTTTGCCCAAAAAGGGGAGATTGGAAACAGGCCGAAAGTTGTCAAATTTAGTGGGGTCCAATGATGGTTTCTTCAACAGCGGTTTTATAATAGCTTGTTTTAAGCTCGCTGGAATCTTGCCTTCCCGAAGGGAGGCATTAACCACCACCGTTACCCACTCAGCCAATCCCCCTCTGGCTCCTTCAGAAGCCAGGATGGGCAGGGGTCTAGGATGGACGTAGTGGGCCTCATTCCTCCAAGTATCTTGTCCACATCCTCGGGCTTCACAAATTGAAAAGAATCCATCAAAATAGGACAAGCAGGTGCTCGTGTCACATCCTCAGAGACTGCATTTAACATGGTGTCCAGACCAGAACGGATCAAAGCGACTTTGTCTGCAAAGAACCGAGCAAATGCTTCGCAGCGCGTGGCCGAATTGTCAGGGCTCCCGCCTGAGATGGCGGGAGTTAAAAGACCTCTGACAATCCGGAACAACTCCGCCGGACGGTTCCTTGCAGACGCAATAGTGGCCGCAAAGAAAGTTTTCTTTGCGGCTTTTATTGCCGCGGCATATGCCCTTAGAAAGGACACAAACCGTGTTCGATTTGACTCGCTCGGATCCGAACGCCACACGCTCTCTAGTTCCCTCTTCCTTCGCTTCATCACTGCCAGCTCCTCAGTAAACCAAGGAGCTGGTTTAGCTCGGCTACTTGAGGGGACGTTCCAGAGCGATCGTGTCAATTGCCCTGGCCATCTCCCCATTCCAGAGAGCGACCAAGGCCTCGACAGGGTCACCTACCGAGGTGGCGGGAAAATCCCCAAGAGCCGTCAGGAATCCATTCGGATCCATACATGTGAAGGATTACTGGGATGGCACATCTCCAAGACTCTGCAATGATAAGCATTTATCCTCCTACCAATTCAGCATGCATTTCCTTTTTTCTTTTTGCAGATGCATACATTTGTGCTCTGATTCTCTGTATAGTGTTGTGGATTGACCATGTGTTTTCTGCTACGACCAACAGTCTAAACCAAAACTACAAGTACTTGGGATTCTTGTAGTTTCAAGTTCTGAATACTACAAGCCATTCTTTTAACTAAGATGTGTATATGTGCGTGTATCTCCTGCTTACAGTACTGATATAAGAAATCCTGTTTACTTAATTCCTCTTTTTTCTTGGGTTTAGACAACACAGCATCTGTACTAACCAGGAGAAATGGATTTCGAAGGCAGGAGCAATCGGTTTACTATTTGCCAGTCTTCATTGTGGACAGTGGCTCTCCATCATTGAGTAGCACCAACACACTCACCATCCGAGTCTGTGATTGTGATGCAGATGGCATTGCCCAAACATGTAATGCAGAAGCCTACATACTTCCAGCAGGACTTAGCACTGGAGCACTTATAGCAATCCTGGCTTGCGTTCTAACATTGCTAGGTATGTCACTGGAGACTGTTTGCTTGATGGAATTATTTTCCTATGGAACAAATGCAGTTAAGATTTTTTTAAAACATGTTTGACACATTTTTCTCCAGTGATTATAAGGAACTATGCAAGAGATTTCAGGAGAGTTGCACATAAGAGATTTTGATGTCCAGAGTTGCTTAGCATTAGTAGATGAAGTTGCACCAGACATTTTCAAATATGTGTAGTAATTATTTCTCCTATACAGTGGGCCCTTGGTACCTGCTAGGGTTTGGTTCAAGGACATCAAAATACATGGATGCTCAAGTACATGGCATAGTAGTAAAATGGTGTCCCTTACATAAAAAGGCAAAATCAAGGTTTGCTTTTTTTTTTCTTTTGGGGTGGAAGGGATGTTTTCAAGTCATGTTTGAATCCCTGGAAGCTGAATCTGAGAAGGGCTGACTGTATATATCAGGGTTATTTGTTTTCTATTTTTGGATCACCTTTCCATTCAGTCAGCATTCTTGCAAGGCTTACTGCATTACATATACATACAAATAGAGTCTGGTAGAAAAAAGTAAAGATGAGAGCAAGAGGTTTAATACCCTAAATTGCACAATTCTACAGATTTATTAACACAAATGCTGATACCATTTCTGGATTCTAAAAGTGGTTTAATTTGAAGCATACTCTTTTGCCAGAATCTATGGTTGCTGTAAAATCATATTTTTTCTGCAATCAACTTGCATGCACAGGTGCACTTGTAAAACGGTGTGTTCCATTCTTACAACAATATTAGAAGCAATAACTGACGCATCAACATTCACTGAGAGAATATTTTTAAAAGTAGATACCTACGTGATGATAGTATTTTTAAAAATAATTGTTGCTATTTTATTCGCATTTCTAGTGCATATAGTGCTTCAGATTACGTACACTCTTTCTGATTATAATGAACACGTGTTTCTGTTTATAAGGCCTCAAACTGCTCTATAGTAGATATTTCATCATCACTATACACATCAATACCCCATGACGTGAGGTTGAAGTACTGAGGCACTTCTCCATGCCCTCTGAGCATGGGTATAACCCTCAACATTTACAGTATATTATTAAGAATAATCCCTGTCCTGATGAAAAGCATGTGTAGATATGTGAGACTATTTTATCGCTGAAAATCAATATGAGTAGTTTTCACCACAGAGAATATTTGTGCAATTTTCATCCAGTATTCACACATCTCAAAGTGTTTTGAGAAATCATTATGTGCCGAAATTCATGTGGGAGTTTTTGTGTGAAAATAGAACAAGGGTGAAGAACATGGCTTTTCTGCAAAAAAAAATTCCCACTTTTCTACATAGCCATGTGTTGTGTTTGTACATGCACAAGATTGCAGGATTTTGAAGGTTTTTTTGTGTGACCTTGGCACAATCTTGCACCAAAAAATGAATTGTGTGAAAATGGTGTTTTCATAAATATTTTTTTAAAAAAAACTTCCCTGTACATTTGGCCCTAAGATTTAGTGTGCAAGATCTCCAGGAAAATGGAAGAACCACAAATATCTCTAGGTTTCTCATATTCCCTCTTTCTCTCACTCTGACATAAAGAGTGGAAAATGGCATGGGGGAGCAGGAGGTGGGTGGATAATTGGTATGATAGGGATGGGAAGAGGAGACAGCCAGTAGCAGAAAGAGGTCAAGGCAATACCAGTATTTCTCATGGCAGTGCTCTTGGCAGGTTTGAACTTAAAAGAGCATCATATATCTGTCCTTGTATTCATCCACCTTGTCTCTTTCCCTTCCCTTTCCCCAACTTGCCCCTTTGTCTACTCCTCCATCTGTCCAGTTCTACTTTACCCATTTATGCCTGCATACAACAAGCAAGGCCAATCTAGTTTTCTCACTGAGGCTGCCACAGTAACAACAGCTGCTGCAACCCTGTCCCATTTCCTTGCTTTCTTGTTGCCACTGCTGCCACCATCCTACCTTCCTTCTCCACTCTCTTCTCTCCCCTCTTCCCATTTTGTTGCATCTGTCCATCTCAGAGACTCACATACCACCGATCCTCCCTTCACATACTTCCCCATCCCATCTCCTCCTCTCTTCTCACCTAAGTGAGGAAATGCATGCATCCCCCCTCTTCCTGTTCCCCACATCATCTTCTCCCCTCCCACCTAAGTGAGCGAGGGAACACACAAATCCTTCCTCACCCCACTCCTGCATCCTCCTGTCACCTCCTACCTGAGTGAGTAAAGGAAAGAATTTGTATTTTCTCCTTCCTTTCCCACCCACGTGACTTAGTGAGCAAGGGAATGTATGTTAGGCAACATCTTTCCTTCTGCCTTTGTCTCCCAGTGACTATTGTTAAAACTGTACTTGTCATCTCATCACCATACCCACAAATTTTGCATTTCTTTTGCTATTCACACATACAGTCTTCCTTCAAATGTCTATTCTTAGGCAATTCACTACATGCATCTAAAAACCTCCATTTAGTCCGTGAAAGCTTATGCTACCAACTTCTTTCTTTCAGATAGTCTCTAATGTACAACAAGATCCCTTTGCATACTGATATTCCAGACTAGTATAGCTATGCCTTTGAATGCTAAGAACAATGAGATGTCTTAAATCAGGTGCAAAATTGTAATGTATGCATGGTAAGTCAGTTAACAAATACTGGTTGCAGTTGTGAGGGTAGATAGTTAAAACACTAAGGGCCCTTCTGCATTGCCCTAAATCCTTTTTTTCTCTGGATTAATTTGACTCCTGCAAAGATCCACACCTAAAGATAAGGTCCCAGTCTTTGCAGGTGCTGGGTCTGTGGGGATTGGCTCCCAGAACAGCATCCAGCCACCCTCCAGCCCCCATTCCCCCCTCTGCCAGCAGCACAGGCCCCACTGGAGGGCTCTCCTGATGTGCGATGTGTCAGGAGGGGGGGAGGATTTCCCGGCAGACCCCTCAGGTAAGTTTTGAGGAAAAATGGGAGGCTGGAGGGTGGCTTTTGTTGACCCCGAGAGCATCTTGCCACACTCCAAAGGAATGCATTGGATTTGGATTGAGAATGAGGACAAAATCCCAGAAGACCCATAATTTAGGGCAGTGTGAAAGGGCCCTAAGCGTACATGGTTACATATTATGTTTTCACAGTATTATTTGTTCATCAGAAAATGATGTAGAATATGGTGACGTGAAGTGATTTAATTAATATAAGCAGCTGTATTTACAGATATCTTCCACACAACATGTATCTTCCACAGAGTAACTGTTCAGACAAGCTAAAAGAGAAATCTGTAACAAAAGTCATTTTGATACTCAGGGATACAGATTTGAATTTCTGCTTCATTTTAATTTTTTTAAATTAATCAGCCACTGAGAAAGGTCCACGTGACAAACTAAAAAGGGTTTCAGATATAGTCACCTCTATCTTCAAACAAATTCAGATCTAGTTATAGCATTTCATATAGTTCAGATCATCAGAAATGACACTCAGAATTTATGCATTCTGTTTTCCACCCCACCTGTGGTCCAGATTCATAGCAAAAGAGAGGCAAAAGTTTTCAGCAAAGCTACAGAATTCAAAGACAACAATATTTTACTGAGAGAATGACATTACTATTCCAAGGAATGATAGACTGAAAGCAGTTCCACACAGTGGTAAAGTCTACTTCGACCCGGGTTTTAAAAACCCAGGTCAGGGCAAACTGTAGTCCACACACCACCAAATAAGCCCACCCTTTCCATGGGCACTGTCTACATGTTCTCCCAGTACCTACCGGGAAAACAGGGAGACAGCTCCACCCCTCCCCAACCGCTCCCAAAAACCTCTTTTAATAATAAAAGAACTTACCCAGCCTCCATTAGCATGGTGCCAGAGCTCTCCTGGCGCAGAAGAAAGGTGGGGAGGGGTGGAGTTCTTTTATTTTAAAAGGGGGGTTGGGGAGGGGGTTGGTGTCCTCACTGTTTTCTGTCCCCAAAAATGTGGGACTACTGTCTGGACTGCCCCCTCAAAAAAGTCCAGAACTTTTGAGGGAGCAGTCCACACAGTGGAAATAGTGAGTTCACTCTGTACCTTCCGAGAAGGAATGGAATGAACCTACTGTCAAATTGATTCGTAACAAACTAGGGTTTTCCTGTTTGTGGCAAATGAATTCATTTTTTTCTGTGGGACATCATCTGGATGTCCTACTTTAAAATGCAGGAACTCCCGCTTTAAAAGGGATGTCTGGATGAGCTCTTAGATCATTAGTCTGCCTCTTACTTTGCTAAAACTGCAAAAACACATATCATAGTTAACACATTCAATGAATATGTTAAATACATTTATAGAACAGAAAAACATATTTCAAACTAGTTTAAACTGCTTAGAATTGTCTGTGAATTCCATATCAAGCCAGAACAGTATTGTTTAGTATTTAGAACATGCTCTCCAGTAGGAAATTAGGGCCGCCAGAAATATATTCCCAATTATTCCTAACTATGCATGCTAACATTATGAAAACTTTATTCCAAATGTCTGGAGTTGACCAGAAGTTTTCCGTTCTGTTTATGGAATGAACACATTATTCAAACATGTTCTAATCAATTATTGCCTGTGTGACAGCATTGTCAAAAAGGTATCTTTAAGTTCAATTAAATTCAGGTTTACTTGGAAACATGTTTCACAAATATTGAGCAAGTATCTATGGCTTAGCTAACTCAGATCACAATCCTGACATAGCTGGATGTAAGCCAAAAAGCTTTAAACTAGCATAGCTAATGATGGGAATGCTGGGAGTTCTTTCTCAACAATCTGTGGAGGGCTAGGTATTAATACTGTATTTCCTGGCATATAAGACTACTTTTTAACCAAGGAAAATCTTCTCAAAAGTTGGGGGTCATCTTATATGCCAGGTGTCGTCTTATAGGGTGGGTGCTGAAACTTCCGAGCCAGACTGGAGAATCAGCGGTCGCCGCATATGGTGGGGAAAGCTCAAAAACGGCCGCAGCCACATCCCTGCCGTATGTGGCGACAGTATGAAAGCAACAAGGGCA